CCGCCGCCGGGGCCCCTGCCCAGCGCGCCCAGAGCCTGGAGCCCTACGGAGCGGGCCTGAGGGCCCTGGTGACATCGGTAGAGCCCGAGAGCCCCGCTGTGTTCTGCAGCCACGAGGTGGTGGAGGCCATGTGCCCAGTGCCTGCTGTGCCCTCCAGCAATGCCCACGTCGTCAAGAAAATCAGCATCACTGAGAGGATCTGCGAGGCGGCCTCAGGTGAGGGGTGGCGGGGAGTGGGGGCCTCCTCTTACCCTGGCTTAGCCTGCACCCTCGGAATGCTCCAGTCCAGCCCCGCCTTCCACCAGCCAGCTCACTGCAGGCCTCCGGACCTCTGTCTCTTCACCCACGAAACTGGGAACCGGTGCGGTGGCGCATGCCTGTCATCCCAGCACCTGGGAGGCTGAGGCAGGAAGATTGCCAGGAGTCCAAGGCCAGCCTGGGCTACGTATTGAGACCCTATCTCACAAAACAAACAAAGTGATTTTTCAGTGAGTGGCAGCAATTGATCTCGGATCTCAGACCCCTTTAAGCAATGGGAAGGAAATGAGTTGTTTGTATAACTTAAGGGACAGCGTCAGGTAAGGCTATCTGCAGGTCCTCAGATACCATCAGGAGTCTGTAACTTAACCGTCTTCTCCTGTCTAACCTGGAGGTTTCTTTCTCAGGCAGGTAAAGGAAGAGCCCATTGTGCCAGGAATCTGGCCTGGCAGCTCAGTGCAAAGTGAGTCCCGTAGTTCAAAGAGCGCCAGGAAAAGCCCCAGAGTAGCTGGGCGTGATGGCACAGTCCCAGCACTCGGAAGGCTGAGGCAGGAGGCTCACCATTAGTTTGAGGCCAGCCTGGGCTACATAGGGAGACCCTGTCTCAAAAAAAACAGGAGCCCTCTGAGGCAGCTGTCACTGTGTCCCTCGCTGTTGAGATCCTGAGGGTGGAGGAGCCCCACTTAAGGAGCCCCAGGGGAAGTGCCGAATCCTCCTGCCAGGAAGGAGGGTGCTGGGCACGCAGAACGCCAGCTGTCCTGCCACCGCCGCCCTGGGAGAAGCTGCAGCGTGATTCGTCCTAACAAGAACAGCTGTCCCTGCTGAGCGCTGTGTGCAGGGTTTCGCCCAAGGAGGGGCTGAAGAAGATGGGTCGGGGCCTAGGGTTCCAATTCCACTTCCTCCTCGACCCGGGATAGCGACCTCACCTCTCTCCCCCTGCTCCGTCCCGCTGCCCCTCTAGAACCTTTATGAGTTCTACATAGGGGAAGCGCGCGTCTGTGCTTTGCTAATCATTTTCAGGACAGCCGGGGCTGTCACACACCTGTCATCCCAGCACTCGGGAGGCTGAGGCAGGAGGATCACTGCTAGTTTGAGGGCAGCCTGGGATACAGAGTGAGTTCAAAGCCAACCTGAACCGCACAGTGAGACCCTGTCTCAAAAAGTGACGGGGCCCTGTTTTTCATCCAGCCCCGAGAGTCAGGTGTCCAGATGCCTGCTGGTGTCCCCAGGGCACAGGCTGCAGACAGTCCTGGGAGCCGGTCCCCACCCTGCAGTTCCGGCCACTGCCAGAGGCCCTGCCTGCCGGCCTGGGACGTGCCGTCCACCCTGTGCTACGCCTCACTCCTCACACTCCAGCTGGCGCCGACCTCTGTGTTGCTTGGGCAGAGCTGGAGTGGCTTTGTTCCTTTCCCTGCCATCTCGTGGCTTGGTTAAGTGTGCATGGAGTACCGACTGTGTGCTTGGCCCCCCCTTTTTTTTTCCTCCAGGGCTGGGATTGAACCCAGAGCAGTGAGCTTGCTACACAAGAGCTCCCCCTCTGAGCCCCCCCCCCGCTCTTTTGATTTTTTTTTTTTTTTTTTTAATTTTGAAACATTGGCTAAAATTGCCCAGCCTGGGCTCAGACTTGCAGTCCTGGCTCAGCCTCCCATAGTGCTGAGATTAACAGGTATGTGGCCCCATACCTGGCTCCACATTGTTTTGTTTTGTTTGAGACAGAGTCTTGCTGTGTAGCCCATGTTGGCCTTGAACTTGTGGCGATCCTCCTGCCTCAGCCTCCCAAGTGCTTTGATGACAGGCGTGCGCCATCACCCGGCCCCTACGTTTGTTTCATGATGCATGAAGTAATGATACACATTTGTCACGGCTGACAACAGAGCTGATGGAAGTTACTGTCAGCGTTATTCTACCATTTTATGAGCAGTGCTGAGGGTGGAACCCAGGGCCTTGTGCATTTTAGACAGATGTTCAGCCACTGAGCTACAGTCTCAGCTCTGTCTTGGTTTTAAAAGCACATAGGAGCTGAGCGTGGTGACCCACACCTGTAATTTCAGCACTCGGGAGGCTGAGGCAGGAGGATTTCTGAGAGTTCCAGACCAACCTGAACGTACATAGTGAGACTCTGTCTCCAACCAACAAAAAAAGCACATAGGATACACCGGGGCATTTATTTGATTTCTTTTGGGGGGGATATTTTAATTTATCTCAGTTCCCCAGCGATCCTATGAGGCAAGCAGCGTTTTGACCCACTCTGTATGAGTGAGGAAACGGGGCCAGTGGGAACCTAACGGACTTGTGTGCCACCCTCTAAGAGGTTTCCACGCTCCCAGGGCGGAGTCTTCCCCAGCCCCTGGGCTCAGCACGGGAAGAAAGAAATCGCAGATTAACTTGTCCCGGGGAACGTCCTGCGTCCTGCTTCGTCAGAATTCTTCAGCAGTGCTACGTGCTTATTTATTTTTGTGGGACCAGGGGGTGGAGCTCAGGACCTTTGCAGGGAGCTCTGTCCCAGCACTTTTTATTTTTTAATTTTTCAGACAGGGTCTTGCTAAGTCACTTAAGTTTCCCAGGCTACATCAGTTCAGCTGTAGCTCAGGTCTTTATTTCCCTTCTGTTTGAAGATGACTTAATATGCAAAAAAAAGTACATATTTATTCTGTATAGTTGGTGCCTTCAATGCCTCATTTTTTTCCCCCCAGTACTGAGGGATCGAATTCAGGACCTTGCGCTTGCAAGGCAGGCACAGTGCCACTGGGCTAAATCCCCAGCCCTTCGTTATCTTCTTTTGAAACATAGAATCAGCCACAGAAAATTTGTTGAACAATAAGTAGGATGTCGTGATGCACACCTGTGATCCCAGCACTCTGGGAGGCTGAGAGGAGGATCCCAAGTTCCAGCCTAGCCTGGTCAGCTTAGCAAGACCCTGCCTCAAAATTAAAAAAAAAAAAAAAAGAGCTGGACATGGTGGTGCACGCCTGTGATCCCAGCACTCGGGAGGCTGAGGCAGGAGGATCGCTGTGAGTTCGAGACGAGCCTGGGCTACATAGTGAGTCCCAGGTCAGTCTCAACTACGTAGTGAGACCCCGTCTCAAAAAACATACGTATGTACGTAAAGAAGAGGATTGGGATTGTAGCTCATTTGTAAAGGTAAACAATCTGGGATCAGTTACCAGTTCCCAGGAAAAACGATGGGGAAAACTGTAAAAAAGTACCCAGAGACATAATTTGCTGATCTCCACCATGGGGGCCGCTCACAGACCCCACCACCAATTCCACTTCTGCACCAGGTTTTTTTTTTGGGGGGGGGGTTGGTACCGGGGATTGAACTCGGGACCTTGTGCTTGTGAGGCAGGCAGCAGCACCACTGAGCTGAATCCCCGGCCCTGCCCCATTTACTTTTTAATCTTGGTTCTTTGTTTGGTTTCTCTTTGCCCACGCTGCGTTGAACTCTTGGCCTCAAGCGACCCTCCTGCCTCAGCTTCCAAGGAGCTGGGACCACAGCCCCATGGCAGGGGCCCCAGCTTCCTACCCTGTGGAATATCACGCCCATACCGCACCTTCCAGAGGCTGCTTTAGATATCTGGTGTCCTTGAGAAATATGCCTTGCATGTTTAATTTCCTTAAATGGTATTGTGTTTCAGAAAAACAAACCTCTTTCTGTTTCTTATTTTTTTCCCCTCCTCTCCCTCTTGTCTTTTGCGGTGCTGGCGTGGAACCTAGGGATTAGTGTTTCCCGGGCAGGCGCTCTCCTACTGGGCTGCACCGCTGGCCTTGTTTCCTCCACGTACATTAAAAAAAATCTTTTTTAATTTTGAGATGGGGTCTCACACTGTAGCCCAGGCTGGCCTTGAACTCGCAGCGACCCTTCTGCCTCAGCCTCCCCAGGGCACTGCCACACTCCAGTTATCCTAAGCTTTTTGCCCATTTGACACTGGTACCAAGTTGTGTGTCTTTATTTTAACTTGCGTTCTTCTCCCTCCTGGTGGCTTGAGCACCTCCTCGTGTGCTTAGTAAGACTCTGCTGTGAGTCACTCCTTGGTAGCCTTTGTCTGTTTTTCTGTGAGGAGTTTCCAGCCATTCCCCGGATATTCCTCACTCACCAGGACTAGTGTGTGGCCTCCAGCCGAAGTTGGCCTGCTGCCTGTTTTGTATGGCCTGAGCCGAGAATGCTCTTCACTGGTTTTTAAATGTTTTGCTGTATAGCTCAGGCTGGCCTCAAACTTGAGGCCACCCTCCTGCCTCAGCCTCCCAAGTGTTGCGCCCCACGCCTGGCAGTGACGGGATTTACCTCTGGCACAAGCATCCGTGAGTCTTTCCCGTCAAACGCCAGGTGGTAAATGTTTTTGGCTACGTGGGCCGTCAGATGTCGGAAGCAACTTCCGGTTCTACAATTTTAATGCCGGAGAGCCAGGCCTTATGTAAAGGCGGGGCTTCACCAATCTATTTAAATTTTTCTCAGGTCACAAAACATGGCTCTGTTGAGGCTTCTCAGTTCCTTCTTTGTTCATTTGTATTACAGTGCTGGGGATGGAACCCAGGGCCTTGTGCATGCTAAGTGCGCACTTACCAGAGAGCCCAGTCCTGTTTAACGCCCCCAGAAAAGCTAATGCTGCTGGCCATGGGGTACCTGCAGGCAGAGCACTTGCTCAGGCCCTGGGTTCCATTCTGGCCCTTAAATGTGGTTACAGTGCCTGCCATTGCCGCACTTGGGAGGCTGAGGCAGGAGGATTGCTGTAAGTTTAAGGCCAGCCTGGACTCCATAGTGAGCCCCCATCGCAACAACAACAAACGTGTGTATTTAACACACCAGGTGGGTCTGAGGACAAATGTGACGTCCTGGTCACGGTGCCCAAGGGTCTCCACTGCCCAGGCTGGGACGGGCCACAGGGGAAGCCTCAGATCAGCGGCCCAGAGCCGGGAACCAGTGGCCACTTCCCACCCCTGAGTGGGGATCCACTCAGGTCCCCCCAGGCCATCTGTGGCTTCCTGTCACCCCTCCCTGCCACTGCCACTAAAGACCAACAAGTTTTGTGTGTGTTTATTTGAGAGAGAATCTCCCTGTATAGCCCAGGCTGACAACGAACCCATGGTGACCCTCCTGCTTCAGCCTCCTGAGATCCAAGAGTGCAGGGGGGCATCCCCATGCCCAGCAAGACGGACAGATTCTCCCTCCATGGCTAGCCTTGTTCTGACGTGCAATGGTTGCTTCAAATTCAGAGGCAGCACTCCATTCCATCAGCAAGGTCGGGGAGTCTCGCCCAGGCAGAGAGCAGGACGGGGCAGGGCGGAGTGCGTCCCAGAGCAGGGTGCGGCCACCCAGGCTCTTTCCAGAGCCGGCCTTGAACTCACCCCGTGTCAAGAGCCAATGCCAGACAGGCGAGGCAGTCTCCTGATTTGTGTTTGTTTGTTTTTTTGGGTTTTTTTTCTTTCTTTCTTTTGGCTGTGTTCATGCTGGGTCTCTGGGCCTTGCGCATGCCAAGCCAAGTGCTCTCCACTGAGTTAACAACCACAGCCCTTCTGAAAATCATTTTTATTTTAAGACAGCCTTGCTAAATTGCCCAGGCTACCCAGGCTTGAACTGGGATCCTCCTGCCTCAGCCTCCCAGACTGATGGGAGGACAGCTGTGCACCACAACAGCCAGCTATAATTTTTAAAATAGTGCATGGGGGTAAAAATTGAGCTGTACCAAGTTTCATTCCACCCCAAAAGAAAAACGGGCCCAGCCTTCCAAAGCTTACAGGGTACCTTCAAATCTGAGTTCAGATATTAACACGGAATATGGGCCAGGGCTTTAGCTCAGTGGTTCTGCGGCCTGCTTCACAAGTGCAAGGTTCTGAGTTCGATCCCCGTACCAAATAACACCAAATAGTGCAAAACAGGTGATACAGCTGACCCTCGAGTATGTGGGCTGTGGGTCTCTAGTTTGAATCAACCTGAGATTTAAAAAAAAAAAAATTGCAGGAAAAGAGCCAAGCATGGTATGCGATGCCTATAATCCCAGTTACTCAGGAGGCTGAGGCAGGAGGATTGCTTGAGGTCGGGAGTTTGAGGTCAGCCTGGGCAACATAGCGAGACCGCATCTACCTAAAGATAAAAAAGACGGTCATCTTGGATGAGGACATTCTTGGTCTTGATGTTTGATTTTGACCTGGTGGTATTTCCTAAACTCTTTGTCATTTGCTGCATGATGACAGCATTGTGGGATGGGAGATGTCGTTTTCTTAAGGCCCCAGCAGTGGCTGCCCAGGTGGGGAGAAATTGTCTAACAGCTGCCCTCTTGGCTGTGATCAAACCTTTTCTCAGTTAATACAGTATCTTTTTTTCAGTACTAAGAGCCGAACCCAGGGCCTTTACGCTGAGCTGCATTCCCAGACCATTTTTTAAGCTCTGAGACAGGGTCCCACTAAGCCAAGTTGTCCCGGCTGCCTCAAACTCCCAACGATCCTCCTGCCTCGGCCTCCTGAGAGCTCCGATGACAGGCAGGTGTCACCACGCCCGGCTCAGCTCTGCGTCCCTAATAACTCCTGAGCCTTAGTTTCCTTTTCGGTAATAATCTGACCCCTCTGAGACCGGATGCCCGGTGCTAGGGTGCCTGGCAGACAGTGCCTGCTCCATAAACAGGACCGTGGGCTGGGCTCTTTGGGGTCTGACACTGGCTCGCGGCACTGTGACGCCTCATTTCCTGCATCCGTCAGGTCCCCCACAGGCACCTGCGGAGTCTCCCTCGTCCCCCCCAGGGTCGGCGCCCGTGGAGAGCACAGGCCGGGTGGCTGCTGCTGGCCCCGCCCACGGGGAGCCCCCCAGCCAGGAGGCACAGGTGTCCGGGGAGCCTGGGGGAGCAGGTGAGTGGCTGTGGCTGTGGCTGCGGAGGGGGCTGGGACTCCGGGCGGCCTGCTCGGTGGACGGTGGCGTCTCCAGGCAGCCCTGTCACTGCTCCCTCCAGGTGGGCCCCAGGCGGGTGTGTGGTCCGTCCTGAAGAGGAAGGAGGAGCCTGCAGACCGGGCAGCCTGCGGGAGGAGCCTGCAGTTCGTGGGGGTCAACGGCGGGTGAGGAAGTCCCTACCCTGCAGCTCCTGTCTGTCCCTCGGTCCTCTGTGCACCAGAAAGAGGGGACCCAGAGCCCTGGTCCGCATCCTTCATCATGGTTAAGTCAGCGAATCACACCCCATTCAGAGCCGGGCATAGTGGTGCACGCCTGTGTCCCAGCCCTCGGGAGGCTGAAGCAGGAGGATCCCCATGAGTTGGAGGCCAGCCTGAACTACACAGTCAGACCCCGCCTCGAAAAATAAAGATAGAAAAGGGCTGGGGATGTAGCTCAGTGTGAAGACCCTGGGTTCAATCCCCAGTGTTTCAAAAGCATTTTTTAAAAAACAGAGGGTCCTAGGGGCCAGGGATTTAGCTTAGTGGTTCTGCCACCTGCCTCACAAGCGCAAGGTACCCAGTTCAATCCCCATACCAAAAAAGGGTCCTATAGGAGGTAGAACACCAGTGTGAGTTAGGGAGTCCTGCATAAGGGCTGAGGGCCAGAAGATGGGAAGCACCCCCTCCAACACACGATCACAGTCACAGCTAATATTTATTTTTGTTCTTTGAGACGGTCTCACCACATAGCCCAGGCTGGCCTTGACCTCACAGACACCCTCCTGCCTCAGCCTCCTGAGTGCTGGGATGACGGGCATGGGCTGCAGTGCCCAGTGGCTGATGCTTACCACGTACTCCCTGCATACCTGCCCACGTGCACACCTGCCACCCCTGTGGTCCATCGCCGTCACCCCCACCTAATTCTGGGGACACTGAGGCCTGGGGAGCACAGGTCTGCAGCTGCCCCCGTGCCCGCCCTGCCTCATCTCCCACCTACTGCGTGTCCCCCGCCTCCGTCCTCCCCAGGTATGAGTCGTCCTCCGAAGGCTCCAGCACAGCCGAGAACTTCTCCGATGACGATGGCAGCGGCCGTGGTGGCCCAGAGAATGAGGCCCCGGAGCCAGAACAGAGGCTGCCGAGTGTGACTGGAGCCCCACGGTGCAGGCCCCCGGGCACCACGGCAGCAGCACCCCAGACCAGCCTGCCGGGGAGCCAGCTATCTCGGGAGGCTCAGCATGTTCCTGTGGCCGAGGAGGCAGCAGGCACCAACTCAGAGGATGAGATCCGGTCAGCTTCCTGGGTGGGGGGGACTCAGACACAGCCAAGGGTGGGTGAACCTCTGCCTTACATCCCACCATTCGGGGAAACTATCAATCATGCACACCATAGTCTGAATTAGCGAACAGTGCAAGATGTTTCTATCCACTGCTCACCATTTGGAATAAATTAGCCCACGGGCTGGGGATGTAGCTCAGTGGTTCTGCTGTCTACCTTGCAAGCGCAAGGACCCGAGTTCAATTCCCAGTACCAAAAAAAAAAGAGAGAGAAATAAATGAGCCTGTTCGTCCACTTTCTGTTAGTCTTTACGTCTGTGCCTTGGCATGTAGTGTGAATCTGGCCCTGGAGTAGGGCGGCTATGATGCCACTGTTCACCTGGCCTCTAGGGGGTCACATGCGCATCAGAGAGAAGAGCACTGGGCCCCTCCCAAGCACCCCAGCTGGGTGCAAAGAGCAGGCGGTTCCCAGGAGACTCAGGGGCTGATGCTAAGATAAACTTGCCAGGCACAGTGGTAGACATCTATAATCTCAGCTACTGGGGAGGCTGAGGCAGGAGGATCCCCCTGAGTTCAGGCTACATAGTGGGTTCAAGACCAGCCTGAAGTACATAGTGAGACCCTGTCTCAGAAGACTAAAGTAAATAAATAAATAAGATCTATAACAAGGGCTGGGGGTGTAGCTCAGTGGTGAGTACTTGCCCAGCAGGCGAGAGGCCCTGGGTTCCGTTCCCAGCACTAAAATGAATGCCTTCTTGTGCACCCCTGCAGGATGGAGCTGAGTCCTGACCTCATCTCGGCCTGCCTGGCACTGGAGAGATACTTGGGCGACGCCAATGCACTCACAGAGCGGGAGCTGGTATGGCCAGGCCTCCGCCGCCCCTGGGAGGACCAGAGACCCGGATGGGTGGCCTCACAGCGCTGGGGCAGGACCTGGGGACAGCACTGTGTTGTCTACGCTTCCTTGAGGCTCTTTTGTATTATTCTCGGCAGTACTGGGATTGAACCCAGAGCTTCTGCACTGCGCTCCACCCTCAGCCCTTTTATGTTTTCCTTCTGAGACAAGGTCTCACCAGATTTGCTACATTGTCCGGGCCTGGCTGGAATTTGAGATCCTCCTGCCTCAGCCTCCTGGCCCAGCGTCAAGGTTTTACTGAAATGGGGCATCCACACCTCCCTCCAGGGCCTTTGCAGGACAGGATTGCCCCCGTTTGCTCCCAGGGGCCCCTGTGGGGTGGGAGTCCGCCCTGCATCCTGCCCCCCTCACGCCGCTGTCCCACCAACCCACCCAGAAAGTGGCCTACACCACCGTGCTGCAGGAGTGGCTGCGCCTGGCCTGCCGCAGCGACGCCCACCCTGAGCTGGTGCGACGTCACCTGGTCACCTTCCGGGCCATGTCGGCACGGCTGCTGGACTACGTGGTCAACATCGCTGACAGCAACGGCAACACCGCGCTGCACTACTCCGTGTCCCACGCCAACTTCCCTGTGGTGCGGCAGCTGCTGGACAGCGGTGAGGCTGTGGCCTGGGCTGGATGGGAAAACAGACTGTGGGCCGGTCTCCAGCTGGAGGAGATCCTCCTGCCTCAGCCTCCCAAGTGCTGGGGGACGGATGGGTGTGGCCGTGCTCCTAGTCCTTCCCCGACTGTGGACTCCACTGTGGTTGAACAGGGTGGAGGTGCAGACTCAGGGCAGGAAGGGGAACCAGGCCAGGCGTGGACGGGGAGGAGCGGGAACCCCGCAGGGGTAGTGCGACACAAGACTCAGGGCGTCCAGTTGTCGCGGAGAGCGCTTACCGCGGGCGCTGTGTCCCCACCCACGCAGGTGTCTGCCACGTGGACAAGCAGAACCGTGCCGGCTACAGCCCCATCATGCTCACCGCCCTGGCCGCCCTGAAGACGCAGGACGACATCGACACCGTCGTTCAGCTGTTCCGGCTTGGAGACGTCAACGCCAAAGCCAGCCAGGTAGGCAGCCCCGGCCACACCAGACCCTCTCTGTGCCTGCCAGCCCCTCGCTCCATCCTGCCAAGTCCACAGGGTAGCCGAGGCTCAGCGAGACGGTGTCATTTCCTCAGGTTCAGAGCTGGGTGTGGTGGTGCACACCTGTAATCTCAGCACTCAGAGGCTGAGGCAGGAGGATCTCCGCAAGTTCAAGGCCAGTCTGGGCTATAGAGTGAGACCCTGTCTCAAAACACCGCCTTCCAAAAAAAAGTGGGGTTTGAACTCAGGAACTTGGACCACGGCGCCCTGCGCTGGGGACTCAGATATAGAACAGGGGGTGCAGCCTCTACTGTCCTGGGGCTCATTCAGTGGCCAGGGGCTCCTGGAACCACAAGCTATTCAGGCAGGGGCAGGGCTGGGACCGGGCTGGAGGATGCGAGGGAGTTCACTGAGGGAGTGACATTGGGCACGCGTGGTCTGAGAGCTCGCTGGGGTCGTACACCAAGGAGCAGAAGCTGGCAGACGGGAGGTGAGCGGGGTGACAGGAGATAGGGTTAGGGAAGGGCAGCCGGGCCCCACTGGATGGTGAGGAGGGGAAGACGGGCCACAGCCTGGACACAAGGAAGGAGCTGTGACAGGTGTAACGGACAGGCCCTGCCTTAAACTCCCACCACCACTGAGGATTGACCCTGAGGCCTTCACGCTGAGCTGCACCCCCAGCACTTTTTATGTGGCCTCACCGTCTTCCTAAGGTACTAAATTGCCTGGGGTGTGCTTGAACTTGGGATCCTCCTGCCTCAGCCTCCCAACTAGCAACTTTCTTTTTTCATTTTTCTTCCCCAGTTCTGGGATGGAACCTGGGCCTCTTGCGTACAGACAAGCGCTCTACCACAGAGCATCATCCCAGCCCAGCCCTTCTTTCCCTTTGAGACAGAATCTCACTATGAAGCGCAGGCAGACCTTGAACTTGCTATGTACTCCAGGCTGGCTTCCAACTCACGATCCTCCTGTCTCAGCCTCCCATGTGAGGGAATTGCAGAAATGTACGACTGTACCTGGTTGCAAATTTCGTTATCTATTCATTCATGTATTTATTTTGGTTTCCGTTTTTTTTTTTTTTTTGTACCAGGGATTGAACTCAGGACCTTATGCTTGCAAGGCAGGTGGTAGAACCACTGAGCCAAATCCCTGGTCCTCCCTGTGTTGGTTTTCTTGACACAGGGTCTCACTATGTAGCCCAGGCCGGCCTCGAACTCTTGTCCATCCTCCTGCCTCAGCCTCCTGTGTGCTGGAAATACAGGCGTGCGCCACCACGCCCAGCCATTTTTTATTTTATGTAATTAAAGATGTTTAATAGTTTCCTGTTTTTGCTTTCACCGGAAGTGAAATTCACATGACACGATATTAACCTTTTAAACATGAATCATTCGGTGACATTAGTGTATTCGTAGTGTCGTACAGCCACTAACCGCTTCCAGAATGTTTTCGTGCCTACAAAGTTGTAGCCCTGTGGATTTGCTCATTCAGGACATTTCATATAAGTGTAAATTTTTGTTTTTTTTTAATTATTCTGGTACCAGGGATTGAACTCTGGCCCTTGCGCTTGCAAAGCAGGCGCCTAAACCACTGAGCTAAATCCCCGGCCCTTGATTTAACTTTTTATTGAGGTGCAACTGAGGAATACAAAGTCGTACAGATCTTCCTTGGGTCAGTTTTTAGGTAGCTGCATACCAGGGAGTGAAGAACCTGCTTTAGAGGATTAGGGATGGAGGGAGGGTTGGGGCAGGGCAGGGCCCCTCTGAGAAGGGGACATTTAAGCTGAAACCTTGGTGATAAGGAGCCAGTGAGGGCCCGGGATTTGGACCAGTGGTTCTGCTGCCCGCCTCGCAAGCACAAGGGCCCGTGTTCGATCCCCGGTACCACAAAGAAAAACAAAACAAAACAAGGAGCCAAGTGAGCCAGGCATGGTGGTGCACACCTGTTATTCCCAGCACTCTGGGAGGCTGAGGCAGGAGGATCACAAGTTTAAGGCCAGACTAGGCAGTTTAGCTCCTTAGCGAGTCCTGTCTCAAAAATACAAAGGCTGAGGGTGTAGCCCAATGCAGTGGCCCTGGGTTCAGTTCCCAATACTGTAAAAGAAAGAAAAGGAGGGAAGGAGAAAAACATTTAAACAAACATTAAGGGAGTTAGCTCCAAGTTCCACCGCCTGCCGCACAAGGACCCAAGTTCGATTCCCAGTACCCAAAACAAAAAACAGTATATGGGTATGGTGGTACCCACCTGTGGTTCTTGCACTCAGGAGGCTGAGGCAAGAGATTCCCATTGAGTCTCAGTCCAGCCTGGGCTACAAGGCCAGCCTGAATGATATAGCGAGACCCAGTCTCAAAAAAACAAAGTAAAACCAAAAGAAGGAAAGAGCGAGGAGGCCAAGGAGGAGGAAGGGCCAGCAAGTGCAAGGGCCCGGAGGTAGGGAGGTTATTTGCTTACAGTGCCAGCATCCGGGTGCTTGGGAACCATGGCAGGTTGAGGAGCAGGGGCAGCACCCGGGCCCCTGAGTGGGCCGTGACCCGGTTCCTCGCCCTGCCCAGGCGGGGCAGACGGCCCTGATGCTGGCGGTCAGCCATGGCCGGGTGGACGTGGTCAGAGCCCTGCTGGCCTGCGAGGCGGACGTCAACATCCAGGACGACGACGGCTCCACGGCCCTCATGTGCGCCTGCGAGCACGGTCACAAGGAGATCGCGGGGCTGCTGCTGGCCGTGCCCAGCTGCGACATCTCGCTCACCGACCGAGTGAGTCCCCGCAGCACCCCGGGGAGGGCGGGCCGCGCCCCGCACACGCGTAGCAACGGCTGCTGCTTTGCAGGACGGGAGCACCGCGCTCATGGTGGCGCTGGACGCGGGGCACAGCGAGGTCGCGTCCATGCTGTACTCGAGGATGAACATCAAGTGCTCGGTGAGCCCGGGAGCTGGCCGGGAGGGGCGGTGTCTGCCTGGGGGCCCTCGGTATCCGCACCCCAAAACCACAAAGGCCCGCTCTCCAGTCCCGGCTCGTTGGCACAGGACGGGGGGCAAGTTTTGCTTTTTGTGTGCGTGCCAGGGATCGAACCCAGGACCTTGCACTTGCCGGGCAGGCACAGCGCCACTGAGCTACATCCCCAGCCCTGCTTTTTTGTTTTTCCTGTTTTGTTTTTCTGGTGGGTGTTGGTGGTTTTTTTATTTTTCTGGTACAAGGATCCAACTTGGGTCCTTGCACTTGCGTGGAAGGTGGCAGAACCACTGAGCTAAATCCCTGGCCCTGCTTTGTGTTTTTGAGACAGGCTTCGTTTCAGGTTGGATGTAGGGGCACAGTCCTGTCCTCCCAGCTCTCAGAGGCTGAGGCAGGAGGATCACAAGTTTAAGCCCAGTCTGGACAATGTAGTAACGGAGCCAGACCCTGTCTCGACATAGAAAACAAAGAATGGTGAGGTCGCTCAGTGCAAAGGCCCTGGGTACCATCCTTAGCACTGCGAAGTCTGAGGGAGAAAAGCGCGCTTCGTTCCTGCCCCGGGGGTCACTGTGGGACCCTGTCTCCTCACCCGCACCCTGCAACTCCTGAGGGCCAAACCCTAACCCTTCAGTACCCACTTGGCCCCTCAGAGCTGTTCCTGTCACACTGGTCCCCTGGCTGCAGTCCTCCCCACAGACCCGGGGCCTGGCACCTCCCTTCCCTTGTAACCTTCCATGGCTCCCACTCTTGTGAAGAGAAAGCCGCCATTCTTCCCAAACCCTACCAGGCCCTGCCTGACCACCCTCACTTCCTCACTCCTTTCTTTCCAACCACACCTCCTTCCTGCCCTTCTCCTCCCCCTGGGGCCTGTCTTTGTTTTAATTTTTAAATTTTTCTTTACATTCTTTTTTTTTTTTCCTTGTGTTTCTGTGTTTGTTTTTTTGAGACAGGGTCTCACTATGTAGTGGAAACTGACCTGGAACTCACTATGTAGCCCAGGCTGGTCTCGAACCCACAGCGATCCTCCTGCCTCAGCCTCCTGAGTGCTGGGATGACAGGCGTGCGCCACCACGCTTGGCAAGCTCATCTTGTATTTTGAGACAGGGTCTCACTAAGTTGCCCAAGGTGGGCTCTAACTTGCAATCCTCCTGCCTCGGCCTCCTGAGAGCAGGAATTGCAGGCACAGCATCCCCTGGACCATCAGCTCTTCAGGCTGGGACTCCGCCTCCCTCTCGCCCACAACCTCCCCAGCACAGACAGGGGTGTGCTTGTCATTTCAGTTTGCCCCGATGTCGGATGACGAGAGCCCGGCGTCTTCCTCTGCAGAGGAGTAAGGAGGGAGCCCGCGGCGTCTCCGGACCGCAGCCCCAGAGCCGACCGTCCCGGTCCCCGCCGCCTCCCGCCCGCGCCGCTCTCCGCCCCACTGCTGCTCCCCCAGGCCCTGACGTCGCTTCCGCTCCTTGGGGGACCTCGACACCAGCGCCCCCCCAGGCGCCGAGCCCCGTTTCTTTTCCCAGGACCTCGATTCAAACCCGCGGCTGCGCAGACCAAAGCTAAATCCCGGTCTGCAGCGGCGGCAGGGTGTGGGCTGAAGGAGGAGGGAGAACAATCCGCCCGGGACGGGCTGGGGAGGCGCCCGGGAAAGGTCAGGGTGTTGGAGTCATCGCGGGCGGGGGAGGGTCCCTGCGGCCGGATTTGAAGTTCACTGGTGTTGGGCCTGGCCTGACATCCGGGATGAGTTCTCCGAGTCATGTCCCAGTGCCTGCCTCCCTCTCCACCCACATTTCACTGTCTGATTTATGATACTTTCCCGGACAGCCTGGGGGTGGGGGGCGTCTCTTCTGGTCATTCCACAAAACAGATTGTGTCCCTGTCAGATTGTCACCCAGGCCTGAAAGTTCAGTCCTTCCATCTTTAGGTTTTTTGAGGTAGGGTCTCAGTACGTAGCCCAGGCTGGCCTTCCAAGTCAAATAGATCGCCCTGCCTCAGCCTCCCAAGCACTGGGGTCACAGGCGTGTTGTCGCCACGCCCAGCTGCCTTCTGTCTTGCCCTTAATGCCAGCATCGACCCCTCCAGACCTGGGGAGGGGAGAGCTCAGGGTGCTGCTGCTAGTCTCTCAGTAGCTCTGACTGGGAGGTCATCAACCCACAGAAGAAACGACTCAAATCCACCCCCTCCCCTCACAGTGGCCCTGGCCAATGTCAGTCTTCCTAGAAAATCTTTCCTCCCCAGAGGCCGAAGGAAAAGATCCAGTTCTCAGAGTAGCGGCTGCCTCTGGAATCCAGAGCTATAGTAACAGGGCCGCCTTTTTTCTCCCCAGGGCTCCGGAATCTTTTTCCTCCATGGAAAGAAAACCCGGGCTGGGCTCCTTGGCAAAGCACAGGGCAAGCTCTGAAAACCCCATGTGTGTACGATTAAAAGTTGGCCGACCTGGGCCTCAGCACAAACTGAAAAAGACGGGCTTTTGCCGAAAACCAAACAAAGGCCAACTGGTGCTCTCTCCTCCCTCTCCTCCCTCTCTCTCTCCCTCTCTCTCCCTCTCTCTCCCTCTCTCTTTGGAGCCACCTGAAAATGGGTTCTTCAGAAAAGTAGTTTTCTTGGCCTCAGAGGTGCAACATGGTTTTCTTTCCAGTTCTTTTTCTTGGTAAGGAAACAAAAAAGGGTCCTAGGCCTCGCAGTGTGCCTTGTGATCGGGGAAGAAGTGTCCTTCCAAACATAAGTCCCACCCTTTCTCAGTCTTAGCCCTACAGGAATTTGAAGCCAAACCTTGATGGAACAGCCTTAAACCCCAGGAGGTCACAGGCCCATTGATAAAGCAGAGTCCTGGCTTCTGTCCTAGGGAAGTAGATTTCTTGGCTGGACGTAGTCTGGCTTCCTTTTTTTAAAGACATCCTGGCTTTGAACTCAAGGAAATCCTCCTGCCTCAGCCTCCTAAGTGCCATAATTACAGCTTAGTTTTGTATTGAAGGGATATACCAAAGGGAAAAGGACTTGAAGACCCAACAGGACAATCAGGATGGATGGATAGAGTATGTGTGTTCGTGTGAATTAGAAAACAAAACCCCCCAGGAGAGTTGAGGCAGGAGGATCTCTAGGAACTCGGAGCCAGCCTGGGCTGCATATGAAGACCCTACCTATCTCACAAGGAAAAAACGGGGGATCACTGCTGGTGTGTGATGCAAAGGCACAACTCAGAAGTGGTGCCAGACCTGTGGACCTCCAGGTCCGACCCTGGAGGTAGCAAGTGCGTGTAAGTCCCGGAAGCAGCCCTGCCCTGGGGTGTGACTCCCGTGAGTCTGCGTCCTCCTCCGAGGTCACTGTGCTCTCCAGACCCTTTGGGGCCGACTTCCGTGCCTCGTCCATGTCTTGTCACAGGCTTACTGCCCCCTCCGACCACGGTACATCCATACACAGTATTACACATAACTGAAGTATTCTTTTTTGTAATCTTTTCTTGAAGGTAAAAGAATTTAATAAAGCCGCAGAGAATGCTGGTGCTTCTGTGCGTAGGGTCTTTGTGTCATTGTGTGGTTACTTTTTTATTGGCAGAGCTGAGGGTGGAACCCGGGCCTGTGCACACTCGTGCTTTTTATTTTATTCATTCCTTCATGCATTCATTTATAGGTACCAGGGATCCAACTCAGGACCTTGCCCTTGTGAGGCGGGTGTGGTCCCACTGAGCTGAATCTCCGACTCATCACAATTTTAAGTAGATCTCTTAAAAGGGTGGTGGGGGGCATGGTGATGCACGCCTGTAATCCCAGCATTCAGGAGGCTGAGGCAGGAGGATCGCTGTGAGTTGGAGGCCAGCCTGGACTATGTAGCAAGGCCCTGCCTGAAACACTCCTACACACAACAAAACAAAGAATATGGCAATGTGTAGAATATGCCCCTAGTACCCCTGGGTAAAAATGGCATTTTGTATAGTTGGGCTGTCTCCTGCCAAAACTTTTCCTAATATATTTGGCCTTCACTTTTTACTTTTTCTTCTTCTTGTTTGTAGGACTAAAGGAGGATAGAGCCCAGGACCTCATGCATGCTAGGCAAGTGCTCTGCCACTGAGCTACTTGTTTTTTTTTTTTTTTTTTTTTTTTTTCTGGGTATCGGGGATCAAACTCAAGTCTTTGCATTTCCAAGGCAGCCGGCGGCACCACTAAGCTAAATCCCCAGCCCACTCCTAGCTTTACTTTTGATTGACAGATTACTAGAAATTGAGTTTAAACAGCTGGGGCTTTAGCTCGGTGGTTCTGCTGACTCCCTCACAAGTGCAAGGACTCAAGTTCAATCCCCAGTACACAAACAAACAAAAACATGTATAATAGAAATTTAATAGAAATTGAGCTTAGGGCCGTCACACTGAGCTACCAGACATCTCTGGCTCTGTTTTTGTTTGTTTGTCTGTCTGTTTTGGTACCAGGAATCAAACTCGGAACCTTGCACTTGGGAGGCAGGCAGCAGAGCCACTGAGCTAAATCCCCAGCTCCCATCTCTGGCTCTTGCTTTGAAACAGGGTCTCACTAAATTGCCCAAGCTAGACTCAAACTCGAAACCCTCCTACCTCAGCCTCCCAGAGTGCTGAGATGACAGGAGTGCACCAGCACATCTGGTTCTTTTCTGTTTTATTTTTATTTTTCTTAGTCGGTGTTTGCAGTAGATAAATGACTACATTCGTCACCGAACATCTGAATTCTTTTGCACTGTTTTGAATGCCTGCCCCTGGGCACACATTTCATACAGACGTGGGCAGCACATGGGGTGGGGAAGGGGTCCGGGGTCCTCGCCGGCGTTTTGGTTTTGGTTTTGGTTTTGGTACCGGGGATCGAACTAGGGTCCTTGCTCTTTCGAGGCAGGCAGCAGAACCACTGAGCTTGGCCGCTGCTCTTACCCGGCGTCCTCCCTGACTTCGCGCGCAGCCCTAGCAGCTGGGAGAGTTGCCCAAGGCGTCTGAAGTCCCAGATGTCAAGGCCGAGGAGCGCATCCCTCCGAGGAAGGGCCTTGGTGCTCCTCAGGAGCTTGGGAGCCAAGAAGGAGCCTTTAGGAAATAAAAAAGTGGTTTCTCACAGAGGAATTGCCAGGGCCATTGGGTCATCTTTGTGGTCATCTTTAGTTCATGCTGACATCAAACCCATTCGCCCACAATCACCTTGTTGTTGTTGTTGTTCTTTTTTTTTTTTTTTTCAGGTATACAAGGTGTGATCAAAATATACAGTGAATGTTTAATTTTCTGTTTTGAGAAAAGATTGTACTATGTAGAGGCCCAGGCTGGCCTTGAACTCGCAGCAATCCTCCTGCCTCAGCCTCCTGAGTACAGAGATTACAGGCATGTGCCACCACTGCCAGCTATAACTAAAATATCCATATATGCTACAGTAAAAAACACACTGCCATGAATCCCCCTCAGAATTCTCCCCTTTGATTCAGACAGTTGTTTTTTTTCTTTTCAGGACTGGGGATCCAACTCAGGACTTTGCGCTTACAAAGCAGGTGCAGTGTCACTGAGCTAAATACTTGGCCCTCAGTGATACTTTTCCTTTTTTTTCTTTCTTTCTTTCTTTCATTTATTTATGTATTTGTGAGACAGAGTGTCGCTGTGTAGTTCAGTCTGGCCTTGAACTTACTGTGTAGCCAAGGCTGGTCTCAAAGTCACAGCGATCCTCCTGCTTCAGCCTTCTGAGTGCTTCAGACACATTTATGCCATTGTTTGGGACGCTTTTCTAAAGCAGTTCTGGAAAGTCCTCTTGCATTGGTGTCTTTACAAGGCGTGATAAAACATACAGTGACTGCCACCGCTGAATGCCAGCCAACAGAAAGGCGAGATTGTAAAAGTGGCACAGTGCGTCCTCGTCCATCTTACCCACTGGGTCTTGTACCGTGCCAATTCTGGCTCTTCCCCAAAGTCAAAGGGAGCATGAAAGAAATATTTTGAATCAATTCAGGAGATTGAGGCAGCCCAACAGAGCAGCTAAATACAAGCCAGGGCTGCTGACCCATTCCTGTAATCCCAGCCCTCAGGAGGCTGAGGCAGGAGGATTGTCCTGAGTTTGAGGCCAGCCTGGGCTGCATAGTGAGTTCAGGTGAGATCAGTGGTAATACATCTTTTACTGTAATTATTATTAGTTTTGAGACAGGGTCTTCCTATGTAGCCCAGGCTGGCTCAAACTCACAGTGATCCTCCTGCCTCAGCCTCCCGAGTGCTGGGATAGGCATGTGCCACTATGCCTGGCTGTAATAACTTTTTATTTTTGGTATGGGGGATCGAACTCAAGTCCTTGTGTTTGCAAGGCAGGTGGCAGAACTACTGAGCTAAATCCCTGGCCTATAATAACTTTTTAAAAGTTAAACATTCACCATATTTCTTATCACATCTCATATTTTGTTTTATTTATTTTTTGGTACTGGGGATCGAACTCGGGCCTTTGTGCTTGCAAGGCAGGCAGTGGAACCATGGAGCCAAATC